AAGCAGTGGTATCAACGCAGAGTACTGTTTTGTGGCTAGAGCTCAAATCACCAAATCTCACAATAAGATCCATTAAGAATGTGAAAGGATTTGATCAGCGTGTTGTGAGATTTGGTGATTTGAGCTCTAGCCACAAAACAGCTTTGATATTCAATTGCTGAAAGACACGCAAGCACCATATTCAATACAGTGGAGTTATTGAACGAAGCGAACATAATATCCGCAATGCGAGTGTCATACAAGCACTCACTGTGGAATTTCGACGAAATTTGCGATCTTTACATTTTGAGCAAAATTCGTGAGAACGTGTTTTCATAGGCTCGTAACTCGGCGAATTTTATAGACTAGAGCCTGAGTCTTGCGCCATTTGATAGCACATCTCCTAGTAACTTTGACTAGCAAAGCAAGCAGGCAGGTTCTTTGACAGACACGTGAAAGGTGGAGGCGAAGTTACGAGCTTTCGTGATGCAGTTACAGTCACCTCACTGTATCTCTCCAACAAGACCCTGTAATCCTCAAAGACCACGATTTTCGTAAAGGGCGTGCTCGAAAACCTCTATAAGCGAACCCTTACAATTTAAGAGCATGAACATTTTGACCGAAATCCATCGGCCAGCTTCAGAGCGTAAAACGAGAAAAAATGAAAGTACTCGAACATCTTGGAAAACTTGCTTATAAGGGTTATCCGACCTGCTGATTACGAAAATCACATCTGCTTAGCAAGAGAGCTTCATATTTTAGAGTTACGTTGGGAAAAATTTAGAACGACACGATTTTTCCGGAATTCACCAGCCCTTCTAACTCCTATGGAAAGATGTCTGTGACTAGTTTCCAGCGCTGCGTAATCTACAGAAAAAGTACTATCGAAAGGTCCTTACTGGAGTCTACTAGGGGCGATGCGCGCTGCTTTACACCTTCACGAAAAGACGTCTACAGAAAGATTTGAGAATATTGAAATCGGAATATCAAGGATATGCTGTACATCGAAAGGCTTGCCTTGATGAACTGAGCACAAAGCTTTCTTCGGATTCAGTATATGTTCATTCCGAAGGAAGTTACGGCGAGTAGAATTTAGAAAAGCGTGATTTTTCCAAAATTCACCAACGCTTCTATCTCTTTTGGGAGACAGTCTGCAGCTGCTCTTGAACGCACGATAACCTACAAAGACAGTACTATCGAACAGTGCTTACTGGAATCTTTTATGTTACACAGACGCTGCGTTACATCCTTGCGAAAAGACCTCCACAGAAAAAATTCGAAAAAACGAAATGGAATATCGAGAGCACACTGTATATCAAAATATTTGCCTCGACGATCTGAACACAATGCTGCTTCTGGATTCGGAATATATTCGTTCTGAAGGAAGTTATGGCGTTGCGTACTCTGCGTGATTCGCATGGTTTCGCGGATCCTGAAATGTCGCGAACTTACCGGATTATCGCGCACTTTGGCGGAAATCCCCGAATTCCGCGAAGTTCACGGAAATTTTGACATGCTGTGCGCGGTATTGTGATCTTGAGCAGATCTTGGAACAAATTCGATCAGAGTGGCTCTCTACCATACTCCCATAGTATACTGTCTATGTGTCATCAGCGACAGATCAATGGTAATACTGTTATCAACACACTGAATTCAAACAAAATAATAATCGATAATTCTGAAAACTAATATTGTATTCGGAATCCCCATGCTCGATTACCCCCCTGTGCCAACTCCCAGCCCCGTAGGTGAACTCAGCAAAAAAATCGATAAAAATCGATAAAATCGATATCGATCGATGACGAAAAGTAGCCTATGACACCCGCCGGGGCCCGAAGTGTATGTGTGCCAAGTTTGGTCCGGATCGGTTCAGAAATGGATTTTTCTATTCGGAACATACGTACAGACAAACAGACAAGCAGACGTTCAGCTTCATGTATAAGATGATGCGTCTCGTCGAGCTGAATCGAACGGTGTCCTCGGATTCAGAATTCGTCCATTCTGAAGCGAGATATGGCTAAATTGACGATCATTCTGGCGCACTGCGGCGGAGTGTGGCGCACTTTGCCACACTCCGGCACACTCTGCCACACTCCGGCGCACTCTGCCACACTCCGGCGCACTGCGGCAGAGTGTGGCGGAGTGCGCCGCATCCGGCGACTTTTTTGACGAATTATGAGCGGTATTGTACAGTCATATTCAACTAGACTCGTAGTATAGAATCACATATGCAAGAGCGCTTGAAAATATTGCGAAAATTTCCGTTTTCTCAGTTTCTAGTCAAGGAATCACATTTTTGGGTATTTGGAAATCTTCAGATTTTGAGTTCCAACTTTCCGTGGATCGAGCTTGGCGCAAAATTATGAACGCCGTTTTGTAGAGCTTGCTTTGCTCTACCGATTAGCACCCCTCAGCCTTTGTTGGGTTGAGTCTGGTTGCTTTGTCAAATCAAGCAAACAAAAAAAACGACATTATTTTCCTGACAATCTAATATTTCAAGTAGTACCAAGGGTTTTTTAAGTTTACTTCAAAAGCGGAAACTTTCAGAAATGGGATATTTGTATACCTATGAACCGCACTTTATAAGCAATGCAATGATTAGTTTTGCATTGCTTATGTAATTTTGAAGCAGTGAAACATTGCAAGTAAAGCACTTCCGATAAACCAACAGATTGAGATCACATCGTGGTTCAAAGACTAGCGACCGCTAAAGTGTTGTGTGAGCAGAATCTTTCCTTTTACTGACGCATCATTCGAGAAGGGCAAACACGCATTTTCCCCCCTCAAGACAAATTTGTTATCAACATAGTACTGCTATTACATTCCCAGCTTTGCTGCAGCTGTGGGATGCTAATAGGTCAAATTTATCATTTCACGTTACACTTCATGAAGCAAGACATGCCAGAAAACTGCTTCTTTGTGTATTCTCTTCATGTATTAAATGTATTGGGGGGGGGGGGGGAGGGTAGCGAATCTAACAAGGGAAGGATACTAATTTAGATTCGCCTTTTAAAATGTGACACATACATTTGGAATCAGCTTTGAACGCTGATTCCAATCATGTTAGTCCTAGCTGCTTAGCGTTATTCTGAAGCGAGTTATGGCTTGCATTTGTGCAGGGCTCGGCAGGAGGTGGCTAGTTGAAAATGCAATAAAACCAAGTCCCCCTTGACTTCGCCACAAAAGTACGACATCCCCTTTGACACGTTAGCGAACAAATCAAACAAGAAAACAAAAAGAATGAAACAGAATACAAGAACGACAGTAAATAGGCAATAAGAACTAGTGATTGTTTGTATTCTCCGGGTTGGCGGCATGCTGTGTCCGCCGCGCACCAACGCGAGCTTGGAGCAGCTTTGCCGCTGCCATCCAGATAATTTGGAGGGCTATAACTAGGCGGGGAAGAGAGGGTTTGAAGATACAAGAGCTGTTTTGTAGAATATCAGATGTAGATTAATTTTATGTAAAATATTTGAAAAAATTATTTGAAGAATAGAAATTATATGACATTGTTTGCGCTAAGCCACCACAGGTGGCTATCCAGGTGGTTTCAAAGCCACCTAACCCCGGAAAAAGTTTGCCATGCCCTTGGGTCACATAATTTTTTCATAATTTTTCATACATAGTCCCAACTCCCCATTGCTCATCTACACACCTAACTTGGTGCCATTTCATCTTCACTTCGCTGTAAACAAACCCTTTGTTTATTTGCTGTCGGCATGCCGGGAGCGTGCCGGCAGCAGATCGAAAGACAGCGTTATGCTCCTCCGCGAAAACGATATCCCCTTTGCTTTTTCCCCTAAAAACGATATCCAGCTTGCTTTGCAAGCCACCTCTGCTGAGCCCTGCATTTGTGAGTGACTAAGTTGCAAACTTCTGAACGTTGTAAGACGGCTTGTAGATAAGAATCTGCTCGAAAAAAGTGCTAGGATTTCGAACTAGAATCAGATTAATGCTTCCGATCTTGAAAGGGAGCATTGTACAATTGCAAAACCACCTAGACGTCGACACCGTAGCAGCAGGTCGAGAAGCACGCAAACTTTGCATAGAAAAGAGACCATAACTCGCTTCAGAATAACGCTGAGCAGCTAGGAACAGCATATTTGGAATCAGCGTTCCAAGCTGATTCCAAATATCCTTCCCTTGTAAGGAAGGAAATCGAAAGATCAGCATACATGTAAGAGCCGAAAGAGTAAATAACAATAAACGTGATCGGAAGAAGCACCTATGTGGAGCGAACTGATTGTGACTATCAATGGTTGAACGTGCTCTCACCGTACAAATTTTCAAAAGCAAATACTCGCAAATTGGAAAATTTCTTCACAGCCTTGCTTGTGTGAAACCCTCTAAAGAAGAAGCGTAAAAACATGCAAGGATTTTGAGGTTGTTATCACAACAACTATTTTCGAGCGGCACGAATAAAGCTGCAGTTCCATATTGCGGAAAAAATCAGAAATCGATGTAAAAGTGTAGTTCGAAAAGTTCGAAATTTTCAAAATTTCAAAAACTTTAGAGCCATTCTTCAAAACTGCTACGACGTTGTTTCGAACCAGATTACAAAAGTTCGTCGGTATTGCTCATAACGGACACTAGTATCAAGAAATTTGCAATGGTACACAATTTCTTCAACATCGAGCAAATTTGCAGTGGTATCACATCTGAGTGAATTGTAAAATTAGGTTCAATATGATTGTACTTATATCGAGTTGGTACGGAAGGAAACAGGAATGACTAATTCTTGAGATATTAAACTTTCGATTATTTTTACAGCCATCATTTAACATCCAATCTCCATACATATGAAGTATAAAGTACGTGTGTTCGGCTTATTTATGTTTTTATGGTTCCTTTGTGTGTGTCAACTAATTAGGCTGAATTTACACAGAATATTTTCAACCCTGGAAAAGAACCGAGCCTACTCTAAGCGCAGGGACCTTCTATTGATTTTAGGCCCTTGAATCTTATTATCACAAACAACTTCTCGCGTTTGCGTAGATGCACTAGAGCCGTTTCCATTTCGCGGTGGGAAAGCGCCGGAAAGAGGAACGCTGGTACAAAAGAGTATTTCGTTCTTGCTGAATTTAAGTCACTTGATCGGATGGCGAGCAAGAGGGACGATAGCTGGTGGGTGTCAACAACTCGCGCATCTTTTACCGTCATTTTTGTCCATCAGCACGCAGAATTCTGGAGCCTGTCCTCCTACTATGCTTTTATTTGAACAGGAAAATCAAATAGATTCTGTTTGCTTAGAAATGAGATGTGAAAATAAGTTATAGATATCAAAAAAGGGTTTAAAGGGTGAAACTTCAAGTATTTCAAGTTTTTTCTTGCAATAACATTACCAAACTGCACTTACCACTGGGCTCTGAGCAGAACTCATTGAGTAAAGCATTTATTCCTACTTTACCCAAATTTATAAGTCTGAAATCAGCGCAGTTTAAGGCAAATCTTGCATTGGCAGCAGCGGCTGGCAAATGCTATCGTTCCTCTTGCACCACACCCCACTTGACCCAGCCTTGAGCAGCACAATCATCCAAGGTACGGGAATGCTAGCTAGTGATCAACAATAAGAACTCATATCTAACAATATTAGCCTGTAATGAGATTCGATTGAGTCTTTTTGTATCGAAAAATTTATTTGCTAAGAGTTCCCTTACTTTGTAGCTTTTGAAAACCTTGCAGAGACATTGCCAAACCAATCGCACGGTCATTTAGCGATAGTTACACAGCCTAATATATAGTAAGAATCTACACTTCCACTTTTTTGGAGGCGAGTAGTATGAGTGGGAAAGTGCAGGAGAAACACAAAGTCATTTGTGATTAGAGAGGATAAATGGCATGCATCCACGAGGAATGTGTTAAAAAAGGGCAGGCTACGGGTGCCGATAGTCTATGCTAATCGAGGAAAAGTTCTAATGGACTGTCTCTAGCAGATAATTACCTACTAGCGACCTGTTAGGTGAGAAAGCATAAGTTTAATTCTACCGTCTGTTCGAGTTGCGATCAGGCCGAAGCGTTGGCTTCAAATTGCCGCTGGTAATGTCAGGAGTTCGTGTTGTATATGCAAGCATTGAAGGAGTCAAGAAAATTAGCGAAAAACATATAAGTCCTACCACGATCACCTTATAGGAAGTTAAAGACCTATAGGAAGTCAAAGACGTGACACAAAATCATAGCAGTGTGGAGCGCATCATACCACTCTTGGCTGCTTTTCCGCACTGGGACATGCTGGTTTTGAAGCGCACTAGCGGGTATGCCCTGCTTAGCCAGCAGCTGTTTATAACTGACTCAACAAGGAACAAATTTGGTGCTCCACTCTGATAGCTTAACTTTTGATTCAAATGGCTTGGCGGCTTGAAGGCGGGGTTTTGTGACCTACTAAGTCCGCTCGCGCAGTCTGCGTCTCTCCCATGCGCGTGCTCTCTGATCATTACCTCAATACCAACCCCCTGCAGCCAAGCCAGTTGATCAAATGGTATAGGGGCCTGCAGGATCGCGAGAGTCGGACGTGCGTACGGCCATTGCGCCGCGCACGTCTGATGTTACTAAGGCAGGTGCCAGATTTATCCGCTTCAACCGGTTCGTTCGGTTCATGGGTTAAATCACTGCACTGTCCAACAGAAAAGGTGGTGAACCGAATGAACCTGTTGAACAGGATAAGTTTGGCACCTACATGAGTCGTCGGACGCGCATCTGACGTGCGCGGCGCAATGGCCGTACGCGCGTCCGACTCTCGCGATCCTGCAGGCCCCTATACAGTCGCTTCATTTCATATGATCATGTGTGCCATTGCACACACAGTCCACTTTGACGTCCTCATCCTGGATTTGCAATCGCAAAAACGCAAGAGACTTACCGATTGTTATCGATTACATCAATTTGAGGTGACTAGTAACTAAAAAGGAAAGAAAATGCTAAGAACACCTTAGAAACACTTACCTGAAGGCTTGTTTCTCCCACGAATCCAGGATGGGGGCGCCAAAGGTGAACTGTGCGTGCAATGACACACATGATCGTATGAAATGAAGCGACTGTACCTGTGTCTCGGTTTTCTTTTACTCCTGTAAAGCACGGCAGATACCTACTAAACCACATCGCTTCCCCCCCCCCCCCCGCCCCTATCGTGCAATGAAAATGAGTTTTACTGCTACTGTTTTCACGAAAGTTGGAAACGGTTTGATATCAGTTAATCAGAGTCCATTTTTGTTCAAAATCGATAAATCAATAGAGATTGTGAATTTTGCTGCGAAAAGTGGCCTACGTGGTGGAACTTTGTCGAAAACATATGTGTGCAAAGTTGCGCCGATCGGTCCACACACAAAATTTTCTCCCAAGAACACACTAACTAACGATTTACCAATAGTCAGCTTTACATATGTACAGATAGATATTTGAGGAGAGGAGGATAGGACGACATGGGCTTTAAGGAACATTTGAATACCTACCAACAATAATTTGAAATTTCCATTACATCTGTCGGTGTCGCAGGCGCATAAAGTTCTATTAGGTCCTGTCCAGCATCTGTTGAAAGTCTGAAAAGAAGTGCTTGTGAGAACCATTCAGAGTTTCAATGCACTGACTTTGCCTGGATTAGCCACGTAAAAATTCTTTTTGCTTTCAGGCAAAGTTTTGAAATCACATGGAGTGTTTGTTTCATAAATGCACACCTTCTTAGGCTATAAGTAGATTGCAGTTGCATATACCTGTTTATCTGTCTATGAGATCTTCAAGCAGAGAGTGCGATGCACTTTTGTTTAAAAAATTCAATCAACTGGAAGCAAGTTACGTAACTTTCAACCACAAAAAGTTATATGGCCTGTATAATAGGCTATATAAACACAATTATGGATTACCAGAGCGTCGACGAACTGAATCACGTTGATATATGAACTACACTGTTCAGCAGCGTCCAAACAGGAACAACTCAGCTCAAATTATGCTAGCTTTGCATCTGCAGCAATTAGTATTAGGCCCTGCACCTGTTGTCGCAATGCACCAGCCCCTCAGAGCGACTGAGGGTTACTCTCTTGTAGTGCCCGACGCAGGTTTCTTCCACCTGCAATCGTGGCTAACATTTCTCAGCAAAGCTTAAATCGCCGGTACAATATATATCCACTTATCATTTTGATAATGACGTATGTGAAAGGGTAAAGAGCCGAGAATACATTACCCGACTTCATTCCCTCGCGTTCTTCCCAACAAACATTACAAATTCGTTGCATGCCGAGCGCATTTCAGTTGTGAGAGTTTTCTGCGAGTTAACGCGACTAATTATCACAACCGAAATTACAAGATGATCGCCATGCAATGAAATCGTAACAGCTGTCTTGTTGGGGAGAATCGCAAAGCGATGAAATCGCGTGGTGCAGGCCAGGGGGTAGGGGAACGAAAGTCGCCAGTTTGAGCCGCCTTTCGCGGCCAACTGGTCCTTTCGCAATGTTGTTGCATGTCGTTCCAGGACCAGCAGTCCGCGCAGGCTACCGAAGCTGGCGGCTTTCGTTCCCCTACCCCAGGCCAGGCCTTTGAGCTTGAATATCAATTAGTTGTCCAAATTTTGAGCACACTAAACTATACCTTCAGATTTCTTATCATAGATTACTAAACCACTACATTAGCGCGTTGTACGATTATCTTTCTTCGGATTAATCCAATGAGAGTCATTTACACTTCCTGCTTGACTATCCTTATAGTCAACTAACTTCGAGCACAGTTCTTCTAGTCACAGCTCCTTCAATCCCCTGATAGCACTCCAACGATAGAGCTGATGTCGTGAAGCTGAACAACAGTGCTGCGTGCAACACTGGAATAGATGAGTGGATTGAATGGTTTGTAAAACAACACACATGTATAACGTACACATTCAAGGACTGTGCGATAGTAACTAAAGTGCAAAATGAATCTATCCCTGCAACATTCGAGGAAGGAAAACTCTTATCATCAAAATTCATTTGTTTCTGAAAAAGACTAACAAAGTTGTGGCACAATACACAGCGTGGAGGAAAGTCTTCTTTAAACATAGTATGGAAAGTTTCTTAGTAACTTAAGGATTTAATTGGTTTATCTTCAAAGCTCCTTTAGTTTCCTCTGTTGTGCACTTGGCCTCACTTCCCAGAAAAGTATGGTTCTTCAGATCTTCATCAACCTAATTGTTGGAAGGTTTCACTTTACAAAGATAATGGAACACAATCGTTCTCTCGGATTTTCTGTTCGCGGAATTTCCGACTTTCGAGATTTGACGGATTCTTAGAGTGCAGGAATTTGTGGAATTTTGCCGTAACTTCCTTAAGAATTTAGAAATATGCAAGCGATTGCTCAGCTCCTCTGGTATAAAATGCTCAAAATCTTTTTGCATAACTGTTTCCTTAAAAGCAGTGTCCAGGAAAATCTGGGCGCGTGGGTTTTTTGCATGGAAACTGCGTTCTAACTAAGGCGTTGTCCCCAAACACTCCGCGCCTGCGCCGCGACCTAACTCGCTAGTGACTTGAGAGGGGTCCTTGCGCGAAGCGTTTAGTGAGCGACGTCATTTCCGGGTGACGGTCACGGCGCAGGCGCGAAAGGGTTTGGGAACGGATTTCTCAGCCGTGAGTGAATTATTTGCGCTGCCGCTTGGGCAGTGCGTTAGATAGAACCTCTTTATCAGCTTCCACGCGAAAACCCTACGGGGTCAGATTTGCTTGGACGCTGCCTTCAAGTCATAGGGATTTGTTAAGCATATTTTGAGACTGTTATTTGTTGTGATGATGAAGATAACATGATATTTTCAAATACCACGACACTTGTTCATAGTAGGAGCATTAGAGCTGTTCTGGGGCGGTATTTATCAATCTCCTATTAGAATGGAGTTCCTGCACAAGTCACAGCCCGTATAGGAGAGAGCACTGGCGCCGTGATCTCCTGTCTGTTTAAAGTCGGGCATGGCAGGTGTCCGATCGTGCCCGATTTTGACAGGTCGGGCCCTGCTGCCTGTTTGAGCCACGCACCTCAAACTTTCAAAAATCATGAAATGCGCTCTCACCTTTCAGGGCACTCGTTAATAATGGCCCGAGCGAGTGGGGAGTTGATAAATACCGCACCTATTGTTTTTAAGCATTTAGAGAGCACTTGCTCAGACGCGCATTTTTGTGGAGGCTCCCAACGTGCACACCGCAGTTGTATAGTTGAAAAGGCCAATCGATGCAACCTGCTCCCAAAGATTCCCAATAATATAAACTGCTCAGAGTCTGCAAAAGATGAAGCGGAAGTAGCCGGTGAAGTTTGTGAAAAATGCATGCATACAGTCCAATTACCGTAAACTTAAAGAAACTATATGCAAAACAACTACTTTTTTCGTGCAACTAAATATAGCTGTAAGTGTAGCTCCCTTCGATGTATGTTCACATTTTCGCACTTCCAATGTTTTATTCAGGCTTTGAAAGCGGTTTGTCCGTATTTTTTTTTGGCGATCACTGTATCTAATAGGCAGGGCCCGGCAGGAGGTGGGCATTGTCAAGCTTGAGTTCGTTCTGGACGGAAAGCAAAGAGAATGTCGTAAGTATACGTTAACATATACATACACTCTCACTCTCTCGACAAGTTGCTACACTACTAACATGCAAAAACATGCTCAACTCGTGCATCAACTTTAGAAATCCCAATTTATGATTTAATTAAAAGCCTCGCACAGTGCACACATAGCGATATGAGTAAGAATTTGGACTATAAAGAGGAGTGACTAGGAGGAGCTTAGTACGATCACTGTGGAAAAATTATGTGACTAAGTTGTGGCAAACCTTTTTCCGAAAACTTTTCACAACCATAAAATAATAAAATGGCTTGCTTCAACACACAATATGGCACGAAAATTGCTCTGTGTAAGCGCAGTTAGACTAAGGAACAAAGCATAAGAAATTATGAAAAAATTATCTGAATAAAGAACGTGCTTGACTTTGTTTCGAAATTTGGTGGAAAATTGCCCATTTAATGCCCACCAGAGGTAGGCAAAATTTCCAACTCACAAAAGTTTCTCAAAAATTTTGCATAGATCTTTCTACACTCAAAGTTTAGTATATAGCAACATTTTGGTTCCAAAGCTCCCTCCTCTCCTCCTTACGTGGATCCGGAATACGACGCCGATCCTTTTAAAAAAGAAAGCGCTCCCAATCGAACAATCTACGCAGCCTGATCAAGAGGGAAATCGATAGTGGTAAAGGCGAATTCGTTTCACCGAGGTAAATTTGCCTGTAACCAATTTCGTAACTTTTTCTTTTGAGTGTGACGCATTCATTTATGGACATAACGTAGATAAGACAGTAGACTACAAATATGCTCAAACAGTTTGATTTTTGGTAGCGAAATAAAGAAAATTTACGCTTTGAGAGCTGGTCAAATTCGAGATTTTAAGGGTTCGAAAACCAAAAATAAAGCCTTCTCCATCTAAATCAAACACATCAAGCCGAAACTGTATCAGATTGTTGATAGAGGATTCTTTATTAATCTGCACAGATTCGGCCTGAAGCGTTTGATTCAGACTAGCAAAGGCTTTGTTTTTTGCTTTTCGGACCCTTGAAATTTCGAACTTGAACTGCTTTCGAAAAAGGCTTAAATTTTCTCCATTTTGCTACCGAAAATCAATACCTAATCCGCATTTACCCAAAGTGAAGCGCACCTCAAAAAGAGAAAAGCTCAAAAATCATGCAGAACTCAAGTGCCAACTCAATAAGTTTGGTGCAAAACTTCTTTTCCTTTTTTTGGATCTACCCGTAAACGCCTTGGAGTGAAGACAAACAAATTCTCTATGAGGCATTTCGTGCAGAATTTCTTGTTCTTTTCAGCAAAAATGCTTTTGATGCAATTTCCTTTACGACTACTAGCTAATCGCCAAAGCTCACAACTCTTCATTTTTATCAAGCCAGCCCTACCATGCTAAATTTCTAGAATTGTTGTCCTTTGGAACCCTTTTTGCTCTCAGGCATGTAGAATATTGCTAAAATACTTCTTCTGATGCAACACAAATTCACATTTTTTTTATTCTAATCTCATAATACATAGAATGGTAAACAGTTCAGGGAACATTCACTGCGACTTTAAAGGCAGCGTCCTCGCAAAAAGATGGGTGTCGTGTTTTCGTGGCGATTTTGAAGTAGATCCTACCTAAACGGTGACTGAAATTCGGAGCGCGAAGAGGAGTCTACCAAGCCTGAAATTTGCTCAGAAAGTGGCCCGGATACGGTAGGCCCGGACGCCGTCTACAGAGCAATTTCGAACTGCAGTGCCAGAGCACGCATAGCGCACACAGTCGTGAGTGCAGGGTCCCGCAACGACTCAGCGTCTCAACCCCGCATGCATCTCGTACACGCCCAGCTTACCGCAAGATCTGGGCCACTTGGGAGGCAGCACCCCAAGTTTGGTGAAACGCTGCCTTTAACAACTATCTATGCTTTGCAATACATAGTAGTTTAAGCACTACAACTGCCCACTTTTATACCCTAAATTTCAAATTTCTCTATTTTCAAGCGATAGTTACACATTTATTAGGTTGGTGCAAAAGTAATGCGCGTTTTATCTAGTTCTATCAAACTTTCTGCTTTGGAAAAAAAACTTATATACTTTCAAGAAGCTCCTTTCACGCTCTATTCATTGATGGTTGAAGCTTTTAGCCTTATTGTTAATAGAGCTAATAGAAGTTAATAGAGCTTCATACAACCGTACTCAAAACCAGAATTTCATTGCACTAGCTTTTTGGCTAGAATTTAAGCGCAAAGAAAGGCATTTATTCAAAAATTCAACTATAGTAGGTAATACAAGTTGTCTACATTATGCACACTGTTCCGTTTCTTTAGAAATAACCTAGATTGAGCTTCTGCGCCTCAAGTTGAGTAGTGGTTTTGGCCATTCTGTGGCCACTCTGAAGAGGGCAATCGCCAAAGTTTTACTCATTTCTCTAAGCGTAAGGGTAGCTTCCTGTTGACAGTTTTTGCTGGGAGCTGTTCAGTACACAGAAAATCAAAAACCCCATATTCTGGGATTTTGAGGCCTACGAAAAAAATATCGAAACACTTTTGAATATTTGTTCGCAAATCTTCTTTGTTTAAGCCCCTTCCGGCATTTTTGTACTACTAGCTTGACAGGCTACTTGCCATTCACACTGACAAATTTTGAAAGGAGTTATGATCAGTCAGAAACGGGGTTTTGAAAAAAAAAACTTTCTAACTTATTGATCCATATTTTTGTGCCCATGGTGATATGAGCATAGTTGGATGTGCGCTGCATTGAGAAATATTTGGTGCCTCTAATGGTTTTTACCGCACTGAAGAATATAGATTCTTTAGAAAGTTTTAAAGTGAAAACTCGCAAAACGCGCATTACTTTTGCACCAAAATATTAGGTTGTCAAGAAAATAACGTCGTTTATTTATGATTTTTCGGGTAAAATTGATATTACTCGAGAATCAGAGCATATCCGAGGCCAAAATTTTATGTTCAAGATTACGAATCTTTGTTGTATACAAAGGCATATACTAGTTGCTCGTATGTGTTTTGGCTCTAAATTTTGCGCAACAGCAAGTTCTGCCAATGTTTGAATGTCATCTCGTAGAGCTTCCTTTGCTCTATCAAGTGCTTCTCCTCACATATTTTTTTGAATTTGTCTTATGGCTTTGCTATGAAAAACGACATTATTTTCTTGACAACCTAATACTTTGTAAAGCAGTTGGTAGTAACAGGTGAACTTTGGAATCTCGTTATTATGAAAAATTCACAGTAGATGGTGTGTCTTTGTGTTTTACGATTTTGCGCAACTCAGAACTGTGGGACAATTATTCAGCAAAGTCTAAAAAACAAGCTAAAAATGTACAAAAAATTGCTGTGATTTGCAAATCTGCTC